AGGATAAAACTCAGTGTGATGCTCTGAAATACTCCGTGTATTTGTCTTGGGTATGATGCTGAGAGGAGCACGAGTGAAAAAGAAAACTTGACCATCACAGATGAGAAAACATTAGTGCCAGTGAAGTCAATGGTATGCTTGCCATGAAGTTTGGCTAATCAAGATTTTTAACCTGAGGTTGCTACCTAATTGCAGGTGTGTGTGGATGCTTGATGTCTGTATTTTTTTCTGATTTCCCCCACACCTCTCTAGTCTCTTCTAATAAGTGGGGAACTTATTACACCCCTGTATAATAGGGACTAGAATCATAGTCACTAGTGCAAAAAATATCTTTGAGATCATATTCCATGTGCCTACAGGGGTCTGATATAATCTCCTCGTAAGAATATACCAGACATTAAGCTGATAACTACAGCTGGTCTTGTCTCTTCTCTGATTTAGTGGGATTTGGGCATGCAGACCAGAAGGGGAAGAGAGTTTTTTCTGAGTGCAGCAATGCATAGTTATTCAGAACAATTCAATCCTATTCAAAACCAACACTCCATGTCTGTCCCAACCTAAAATTCAGCTGGACGATATAATAGCTTATTGTTTGATGCAAGCACAGACCCCTCAGGTAATAACATCTGTAAAATTTGAGACTTGTCATTTCTCCACTGAGGAATAAATGGGAGAAAGTTGTAGTTTAATGTCATATACAGATTATGGCATATAATATAATATTCATAGCCTGTTGTACTATAAATATAACATGCTATAAATATTATGCATTTTTATATACATGTGAAAACCCCAAAATTATTTGATATTTTAATTGTGGGAAAAACAACCTTCAAATTTACAGTTTTATTTATCTTTCTCTTTTCCTTCTAACAAACTGAAAAAAATGGTGTCTGTTTTTCACTAGCAACTTTGGAGAAAGAAAGGTGGGGATAAAACCAGTGCAACCTTGAAATACATGTCATAATAGAGAAAAATTAGAAACCAGCAAGCTCCTGAGCTGCAGAAGTGTTAGGGAAGCTGATACTATTTTTCATTCATGATCACAAATGCTTGAAGCCCATTTTTGGCAGACTTACGGTTTGCCCAGAGATGTTCGGAGAATAAATTATCATCTAAGTTGATAAAAGGAAACATCAAGCAATTCCCTGTACCATGATGTCAGGCTTGAGACGGAAGAAGCACTGTGAAAAGTGTCTGTTTCCAAAAAAAACCAATATGCCAGGTACAATGATAAGTTCTTTGAGGTTTTAACTTCAAATGACATTCGTTGGGGTGACTTTAAAGTAAAAGGGCCAATTAGGGGCATTACCACGAGCCCAGGGAGCACTCATGAGTACAGGGAGCACAACACTGATACCTGTGGATCACTAAGATCCACTGTTTCTGTTTCCTCCTGAGCATCAAACACAAGAGTTTGTGTGCTTCTGGCTTCCTGTAGGATCAAAAGGGAATTTTCTTTATTCACTTGATCAGAGGCAAAGCAGACTATTCTTGGTGAACAATTTCTTATGTTGTCTGTGTCACTGACAGCCAGTAATGGAAATGTCATGATCAAGTGGAAATCAGCTGTAACTGATGTTGGTCACTATGTTACATTGATGAGATAAGAAAGATAATCAGTAAGGGCCAAGAGCCAGGTAAGATGAGCACCTGCATCTCTTCTTGGCTTAGGGTCGGTGGGGATTTTTTTGAAAATTGTACTATAAAAGGGGGAGAAGATGGATTGTGCCCTAACAAACACTGCCACTGAGGTTAGTAGAAATTTCGGGTTTGGGTGAGAGCAGATCTGAGTAGTGAGTCCTCTGTTTCAGCCCCGATTTGTGAGCTGCCAGGTACCCGTGGGCGCTGGTGAAGTCAGTCGAACGGTTCCTGAAAATCTGAATGGCCACAGGATCAGGTCCTGGGTTATTCCGTTTTAGAGGGAATTTGCTAATGTAGTCAGTCCAGTAAGCTCAATTTTGATGCCATCTCATTTTATTTGACACTAAACTAAAACAGCTGTTGGCAATTAGCACACATAAAAAGAACAATAACAAAAATGCAGCCTGCCCTTCCAGCTCTACGCATACTCATTGCAAAGAGTTCACCAAGTTGGGGTGATTTTCCCTCCCTGTGCTCTAACTAAAACATCCAACACAATTGGTCTCGCTGAAGACCAAAGGGAAAAAAAACAACCATATTTATGGTTTCCCCAGTGTTTGTGATGGGCAGCAGTGACTGGTTAATGGAAGATAAAGGTTGCTCCGGGTGTGTGTGCTGCTGAGCTGATCTAAGCACTAAGAAGTTAAAGGGAGGTGAGGGCCGGGCGAGGGCTGGTGCTGTGCTGGGACAGGATGAGGTAGAAAGCTGGTTTCTTACCAGGACTGGGATCCAGGGCAGCTGGCCCACCCTCCCGTTGGGAACAGGGAACAAGGAGCTTGTAAAATACACAGACCAAATGGAAATGACCCCTATTGACTGAAACCAGCTGCATGTCAGACCTCTCGCTGTCTGTCTTGATTTGCTATCTCAAATAAATGGATGTGGTAGAAGGGGCTATGGAAAGAAAACAAAATAATTTATTCTCCTTGAAGTCGTGCCACACTAATAAGCCACAGTTTTTACAGCTGAAAAAAAAAATGTTTATTCGCAGATTAAGTTTTTCCCTCTTTTTATTTTTTTTTAGCTTTGAAAGTCTGCAGTTTAGAATAAGACATGCTGTAGTTCATTTTCAGAGGTCTTTGACAAATATAGCATTGGTAGATTTTGTTAGGTATTCATCACATAAAACTGCTGGCTCGTGAGAGCTTGTTTTTTTTTTTTTCCATTTTGATTCAGAAAACAGTTACAACAGCTTTTGTTGGTGCCTTGGCTTAGATCTGCATGGTGGCTCAGCTCCACGAAAAAGGTCTTAGTGAATTTTGAAGAAGAATGATGTGCAGAATGACTTGACTTATTCATGTGTTGTTTTCCACATTTCCCCTGATATACGCCTGGGTAACACCAGTTATTCTGAGCATAGTGAAGAGCTGCTTGCAGTAACCAGGGTAGTACTTGAATTTGGAGACATTAAGGGCGACAGCTGCTCAAATCCTACCAGGCTGGGTTACTGCTATTGACGTTAGACTGAGCTCTGCTCTGACTTTAGAGGTAGGGAAGGAGGTATTTAACCTCCCTGCCATAGTTGCCATGATCTCTTTTTGAGATCATCGGGTTGTGACACGTGCCATAGTGCGGTCATGGTTTGGTAGGCTTCCTTAAAGAAACTTCTAAAGTCCTCAGTCTAGTTTTCCTTCAAGCAAACTGAGGCACTGATGTGTTTTGCAAATGTATCTTTTTTCTTTTTTTTTTTTTTTTTTTAAAGTGTTATTCAGCCAACTGACTGTTAGTGAAATAAGCCACCAAATTTGGATTAACGCATCTATTAGAGTGTCTTGGTGGAATGACCTTCATGAAGTCTGCAGAAACATGTGATACAAAAAATTTGAGGATGATGCTTTGAATTGACCTTGTTACTTATTTTTGCCTTTCACAACTTTCCTTATTTTTTTCTCTAATATTTTTCTTTTTCTCCTTAAGAAGTTGTTTCTTCATCACTCACAAGGGCACAAACACAATAGGGCAGCAGCTTTGAACATAGGAGCTGTGGCCTTGCAGTGGAGTTGCACAGACAGATTTTTCAATATAAAGTAGATTGAAATTACTGTCTATAGGTTCTGAGTGTCCTGGCAGTTGCCCTCTTTGCTTTAAAGAGGAAACCAAAATGCAGTTCAATGTGGTCATTGCTCCTCCGCTGGCAGATTTTGGCCATGTTGGCTTGTAAGATCTTCTGACTAGGGGGAAAGGCACACCACTGTACCTTGTACCACTGCTGTTTCTTGCTGGTTGTCCTGTAGGTGGTAACTCTTACTGGTAAGCTGTCTGCTATTCATTATATCCTCTGGCTGGGTAATGAATTATGAGCTAGTTGATGGGTTTTTCAGATCATGCCAGTCTGGCATCAAGTGATACTGTGGACCTCCTTCCTTCCATTTTTATCTTACTGTTTTCTGCCAACTTATTTGCACAAATGAGAGTAAACCAGTCTTACACTGACTTCTTGAAACACGTAAAGAGGTAAGGAGGTCTTGTGTGGCCGTCTGTAAAGAATATTGTATATGTTCAGCTAGAGGCGGAAGCATGGATATGAAGGTGACAGTACAAAACATAAGGAGTATAAAACAGAGAGGGGTATTAGCATGTTATAACAACACAGCAGATGTTTGAACATTCCAGCAAAGACAGAGGATCAAGTTGAGGCCACCCTCATTATTTTCCTGCCTTTCTGATGAACTACCAGGTTGGGTGCTAGTACAACTGTATTTGAGCCTGACTTTAAAAAACATGTCAATCCAGTATATTTATCAATGAGTCTTTTACATAATATCTATAGTAAAAAGAAGAATCACAGAATCTTCTAGGTTGGAAGGGACCTTAAAGATCATCTTGTCCAACCGTCAACCTAACTGACAAAAATAGACACCCACACAACAAACAAGGAGCATCATCACTAAACCCTACCTCCCAGCACTTCATCAACCCGTCTTTTGAACACCTCCAGGGTGAGGTGTTCAAGAGCAGAACTTTGTTTCACTTTTATTTTAATCAGACTTTCATTTTTAAAAGTTGAAAGAACACAAGCTTGATGAAGCTAACGCTACTAAGCTGGCCAAATTAAAAAGAATGAGAGCCAGTTAGTTTTCCTCAGCAGCACAGTAGGAGATGTGTAACTGTTAAATTTCAGCTCAGATGTTTATATTTTTACATATTTACAGTGGAAAACTAGATTAGAGCCCAAGAATATGTTCTTTCTCAAACTGAAATAAGATGCCTTTTATCAAGGGAACAGCAAGAAAAAAAAAATAGAAATAAATCACAAAACACAGGACAAGGCACCATTTCTACACAGCAGAAATCTTACTCTGATTACTCAGATCATCATGCATGAATGTTGAATCTTCTGCCTTGTTCTGTTCCAGAGACTGAAGGCAGCCCTGACTCATCATCCAGCCGCCATGTCGAACGGGAATATGAACACCATGGGCCACATGATGGAAATGATGAGCTCGCGGCAGGACCAGACGCCACACCATCATATGCACTCACATCCTCATCAGCACCAGACGCTGCCACCTCATCACTCATACCCGCATCAGCACCAGCATCCGGCGCACCATCCTCATCCTCAGCCTCATCACCAGCAGAACCATCCCCACCACCACTCCCACTCGCACCTTCACGCGCACCCGGCACACCACCAGACCTCGCCGCACCCCCCGCTGCACTCAGGCGGACAAGCACAGGTAGACCTTCATGCCACGTGGCATCACTTGAGTTTTGCTGTTGCTTGGAGTTAAAGCCTGATCCCTGTAGTGTTTCTTCTTGCACGCATGTCTTGTTAGATACAAGCCCCTCGGGCTACTCATAAATCTCTACTACCGGTGGTGGGGAAGCACAAACTTTACTCAGAAAATGGAGTGAAGCAACAACTTGTTTTGCTGCTTAATTTGCTAGACATTTATAATATCTTACTTTATAAGGAGCTCCAAGGTTTTTCAGTGCTCTGAGCTCTGCAAATTGCCACATATCCTTTTATGGATGAGTTTTATTATGGAGATTAGCATATTATATATGTTGCTTAATGTGCTTGAAGCTGAACTTCTTAGGTCAGGATTATAAGAGCTGTATGTGCTCTACTGACAGAAACGTACAGCACAATCTTAGTGAAGTCAAATGGCACTTCATGTGTATACTCAAAGCAAGAAGTGAGTCTGTGTAAATAACAAATCTCACTGAACTTAATGAGCTATTTATTTCCTGCCAAGACTGGAGATAGTAGAGGTGCTTTTAAGATACACTGGTTTAGAGGGAAAGAAAAAAGGATCCAGACACTGTGAAGGGGATAACACCCCCCAGCTGCGGAGAATGAGAGAAAGCCAAGATTAGCTGAGAGTGTGGGCAATAGTGGGTAGATGTTTTGTCAGGAGAAAAAGATGGTGAGTCCAGTCTAATGAGACAGTTTTAAACCAGGAAGGCAATTTTGAATTGCATTTAGGTGATGAGAGCTCAGTGAAGGTCTCTATTGAATGAGATGGGAAGTCTCTATTTTCAGACCAGATATATTGGCTTCAGCAATTTGGATAATTCAGTATCTGAAATGTTTCTTGAACTAATGAACTAGTGAGCATGGAATGTAGCAGAGTCAAATTTAAGAGGAATTCTATTAATGTCTTAAGATGATAAGCTTCTGCTTCGAGATCACACAAGAAAAATAAAGCTCTGGGGGCAGCAACTGTAACATGACAGGTCAGGGGAGCAAATTTCAGGAGGACAAGTGGGCAGTGCACAGTATGAGTACAAAGCGGAGTGCCAGCCATAAGAAGTTCAATCTGTGAAGTATTGTGTTGCTTGCAAATACCTTTCAGACAAGCTCTTAGAAAACATTAAAGAAAATGAGAGGATTTGGCTGACATCCCAGTGTCCCACAACATTAACTATTTACTAACATCTAGCTTTATTATTGCAGAGGCTACAAGCACATGGGATTTCCCTAAAGCATTTGCTAATGAAAAATGAATTGTTAGCTTTAGAGAAACAGTCTAAATAAGAGAGCAGCAGACTCCCCTGTGAGAAGATGTCCAGATCTTTCCTAAGTTTAGTTGAGTTTTTATTTTGTGAATTCAATTATTTTCCCATCTGTTAATGAGTTATTTTCCTTGGAGTTGTTTAAAAACTCCAATAAAAAGACATTATCTCATAACAGAGAAACCAAAAGTAACCTGATGGCTGTCTTGGAGGTCTGTGAGAGAGTGAAAAGGAAGTTGTGCTTAGCAGACTGAGGACTCCATAGATGAGATGGAGGAAGTCAATTAACCTCTGGGAGGCTTTTAAATGAAGGGTATTAGTACTGACACCTCCTCAGTTGGGAGGATAAACATGTTAAAGCAGGTGGAGAAGTTAGATAGCATGGTATGGACCACTCCTGCAAAACATCCGTATTACCACTTCTAACAGGTGAGGAGAAAACAACTGCAAGAGAAAACAAACATCCCAGGTTTAAGGGTAAGATATCAACCAATGAGCTGGTGTGCTACAGCCACCTCTTCCTCTTAACTTATGTGCTGCTGGAGCTGGTTTTGAGTCATTCTAGTTAGGACACTCTTGACACCTCATGTTTTGTATTCCCTGTTAGCTAGGAACTCCAAAAGATTCTCAGGTGGGCAAGAAGAAATATGGGCACCAGGGTAGGTGGGCTGATTGGCAGCCAGAAAGCTACATCAGATTCTCTCCAGTTTTGAGCTGAGACAGAAGTCAGATGAGCTTTGCCATGTACAGCCTGTCACTGGAGGCAATGGACCCCACCAGGGATTAAGGAGGTCTTCACCATATCCATAGGTGTAAGTGTCCCCAAGAGGATGGGAATGGAGGATGATGGTGTTGAGGCTGAGCTGGACTCCTAGAGTCAGCAGCTTCCCTGGGCAGCAGAGCCCTTGTTCATCTGCTCTCGTGGTGCGAAGGCAATAGTGATTTCTGAGCAGATGCATTAGTGGGGAGAAAAGAAGGGTCTGCTGAGTAATAACCATATAGATATTACTTTCTAAGCTTGTCCATAGTGCCCACGGTAGGTAATGGCCTCTTTAATAGTCAGATTGCTCCAGCAGACGTTGATTTTATGGTGCATTTTACTAATTATTAACCTCCTTACTCTTCTGGGCCAGATTCTTCCCTTCCAAGCCACCTGCCAAATGAGGGCACGGTCCATGGCACTGTGAGCCGTGTGCTCCCACGCCGAGACTTTTGTTATTTTACACCATGCCCTTTTGTAAAGTCAGAATTCATTTCATGCTCTTCAGCTACCATTTTGATACACAGGAGCCCAATGAATTATACTTTCATGGAATGAATGAAGGCATGGATATGAGTTTTGTAGTAAGTTGCAAAGAACAGAGACAAGTATTGCATCAAGGATAAAAGTAGAAATCACCTTCTGATAGGTATCCTTCTGAGGGAGAAGTTTTATCAAGTTGGAGCTATATTGCCTCAGCTACTACAAAAATGACAATATTATTCTTGTGTTGGTCCCATGAAGGTTTCTTCCTATCAAACTTGCAAGAGGAATAGCTTAAGCAGAGGAGTAGTTTGGATGTTGTTGCATTTTGTTAGCTGTCCTACATTTGTCTTCATTATGGATACATGATTAGCATCCTCTTTAAAAAAAATTAACCTCAATTTTAATATATGTTCATTTTCTTTCTTATGTACTTAGGCAGGGCAGCGAAATCCTGCTAGAGACTGATGCTTAGACAGTTACTAAGATATAAACTAATAGAATAGGGTTAAGAGCTAACTACCAAGAATCAGTTAATTATCCCACGTGACATTATTAGTGATGTAATGGCAACCTTTATAATTAATATCTGCCAGAGATGGAGAGAAGATTTTGTTGTTCTGAAAGTGCACTCTGCCCAAAGACCGACTGGTACATTCTGGAAACAAATGACTCATTGGTTATTCAGGAGAGAATGACCATATGAGGGGAAAGAGAGGGGGAAAAAAAAGAAATTTATAGTTACCTTTTTCTGCCTGTGGAGCAGACCCCAGTGGGAGAGTTAAGAAACAAAAAATTTTAATGCTGGATGAAAAAGGAGAAAAATGGGATAAGGGAAGCGTTTGCTGGCCAGAAACATAAATAACAGACCTCTGAAGTCCGGAAAGGTGTTGTAAGTGAAAAATAAAAGGCCTTTGATGAGATGTTGACCTTAAAAGGGATCTCTGAGGCCTCTGCACTGAGATATCTTGCTAAAGAGGTGGCATGCCCAGCCCTGGTGGACAGGGAGCAGCTGGAAACCCTTGACAGTGATGTCCTGGCCAGGGGTCCGGTGTGGCTGCTGTAGCCCTGTGACTCCAGCTCCTGGTGTGGACAGAGGGTCAGAGATTTTACCAGCAAACATAAGGACTTAGTATGAGCTGAAACTTTAAAAAAAAGTGCAGGGTGGGTTATTTATTTTTAGAAGCTTATTTTTTTTAAATAATTTTTCTGCTACTGTGAGAGAGGTTCCCGGACTGCGCAACGTAAAGCTGGGAATAAATTCGGCTTCATGCAAAAAGCGTTATCAGATGCACGGAATAATTACACATAAAATTGCCACTTTAATTGACACAAGTCAGCTGGGAGAGGAAGCGAACTCTTCTTTGCAGTTTGTGGTGAGATTCTAGACAGAAAAGCGACCTCGCAAGACGATAGTATCATTTTAATTGAGACAGACAGAGGTGTTGGGCAAACACATGTTAATTGCCGCAATTGAAATTCAGGGCTCAGTCTGACAAAGCGCTGAGTACGTCCACTCCCTGGAGTCAAAAGGAAGCACCTTGGAGGTTTGGGCCCTTGCCAGAACAAGAGGGTTAATTTTGAGTCAACAATTCAGGTTTCCAGACTGTTCCAGACTGTGCCGGAGCGGCGGAAGCAACGTGAGCAGCGGCTCCCGCGGCGCTCCAGCAATGGGACCCGTGGGTCAGGCTCCCGAGCCCTGAGCACAATCCAGAGCCCTGTGCCCTTCCCTGGGCACCACAGGGAAGCAGGAAAGCAATCCAAAAGCTGGCTGTTCCCAGGCAGCTGAACGTTCAGTCTGATGTTGGTTCCTGACAGGGACGTGGGCAAGTGTTTCATCCGTCCAAGAGTCGGAGCACAGATTGCATGGGGCAGCCCCCACCACCTGCTTTTTCTGTAATAGCATCGGCCAGTTGCTCTCAGGAGCAGGTCCAATAATCTCCTGCACTTGAAAAAGTGTAAATATGTATTTTTGCATAGTTTCATAGCAGCAGGGGTGGATCGGGTGCACCTCTGGCTGTCAAAACCAGGCAGCTGAATAAAAAGGGGAGTAGCATCCACAGGGGTGAAATGGAGATGCCCGTGAAGGGGAATATCCCTTCTCCACATGGTGCAGGGATGCTAAAATGCAGGTTTGCGTGTAGGTGCCTAAATCCTTTCTTTTGGCCCCAACTGAGGTACTTTGTCTGATCCCAGCCCTCAGCTTCCCGGCTCCATGCAGGCGCAAAGAGCCTCCTGTCTCCGGAGGTGGTAAAGCATGAGATGGAGATGTGGGAGCCTGTGAAATAGAAATGTCCTAAAATTTTGGAGGCAACTAGGGGGAAAAAAAAAAAAAGAGACAGAAATAAGGCGGCTACAGTCTTCTGCTTTGATTAAAACAGTTGCTGAGAGAAACTTGACATTTCAGGTTTGAAATAGGTGGTGGCAGAGAAAGTACCTAAGTGAAATGTTTTTAATAACTGTAAGGGGAAAAATATTTTCCCTACTAATATTCAGAGGATCGTTTACAAAAAAAGTCTCCCCTTTGACCACGGCAAGGATTTGCCAGCAGCTCATTTCAGTGGCATCTGGCGCAGCCTTTCGACTCGGTGCCTGTTGCAGACCTCGCCGGGGAGCAGGACCAGGGTGTGAGATTTCCCTTCCCCTCCCGGCAGCATCCCCCCTCCATAATTTTCCCTCCGTCACCACCCCCCCTGCCAAACCTTTTCTCCCTCGCCAGGTCTCGCCAGCAGCCCAGCAGATGCAGCCCACGCAGACGATACAGCCGCCGCAGCCGACCGGAGGCCGCCGGAGGAGGGTGGTGGACGAAGACCCGGATGAGAGGAGGCGGAAATTTCTGGAAAGGAACCGAGCCGCCGCCACGCGCTGCAGACAGAAGAGGAAGGTCTGGGTGATGTCACTGGAAAAGAAAGCAGAAGAGCTCACCCAGACAAACATGCAGCTTCAGGTGCGAGCCACTGTCTGCGCCCCCGAGGACACAGAGGGGCTCTTTGTGCTCCAAGGGGCCGGCGAGCCCTCGCCACCTTAGGGGCTGCCCCCGCACAGCCGGCTCCTAGCGGGAGCACAGGCGTAATCAAAGTCAATTAATCAAGATGTGTGTGCTTCAATTAAAGAAATAATTGCATTTTAGCGGGATAAGCCAGGAAAAAGCTGTCTTGGGATTTAGAAGCCTTTGCTAGACGGAGTTGTATTTATTTTCTTTCCTTGTCGCCACTATTTGTGGGGATTTTTTTTGGAAGTGCCATTAACTCGGCTGTAAAAGACTTCTTCAGAGCGTGTAGCTAACCCCTCACTCAAAGCCAGTGAGATAGGAACATAAATAGATCAGCCTCCCAGCGAAGAAAAGAATGAAGTGGATGGATGAAAAAACCCTGAATATGATAAATAAAAGCCCTTCTTATGTTGGTGCCCGTCTTTATGGTGGGCACAGTACTTCTGCCCCATCTGGAGGTGTGCCTGTGCACTGCCAAGGGGGGAAAGACCGACTGCTTAATGGCACTCCCCCAAAACATGGAGGTGTGAGCAGCACCCAGATACTGGCCATAGTGGAGGTGTAGGTGACACGCTGTAGGTGACAGCAGCCCTGCCACCACACCACCCAGGGCAGCAGGCTGCCATTTGCCCCCACAGGTCTGATGCTGAGAGCCAGAGTATTTCCTGAGCAGATTAAGACACTGACAAAAGTATCTCTGGTGCTGTGAAGGCTTGTCAATTTATGTCATCAAATCTGGAAGCCAAATTGCCTTCAGAAAAAGTTATAAAATAATGTCACGGATAAATAAATGTTAACATAAATCCAGCACAAGAGCACCAAGTGGCATTTTTGCTCAGTTCTTCCAAAGCTGTGGAGCAGTTTCTGTGTCTTTGGGTTTAAACTTTGCAGAAGGGCCTGATTTAAGCTTTGTGGCTAAACCAAATCTTCCCTTTCTTTTCTAGAACGAGGTTTCCATGCTGAAAAATGAGGTAGCACAGCTGAAACAGTTATTGTTAACACATAAAGACTGTCCGATAACAGCTATGCAGAAAGAATCACAAGGATATCTAAGTAAGTAGCTGGTATGTTTGCACTGTCTCCACACTCCTCACAGGAAAGCCAAGTTTCTAATTCTTCCCTCCAGAACCCCTTCTTGGTCATAGTCTCACTTGAACCTGTCTTCTCAAACATCATCCGAGCCATCCGATCTCCTGCCCTTATTTATCCAGCCCTGCTCAAAACCAAAAAAGCCCTGGTTTGCATCCCACCCAGCAGAGCTAGCCTTCCCCACCCCTCCCTTCCGCAAGGAGATGCACACGGATGGACGCTCGCTCCCCTGTGGAGGATCCCGCTTGAACTCACAGCTCCAAACCTGCAAGAGTCCTCCTGGGCGCAGCACTGCCAGCACCTTAAAATAACCCTCAAAAGGAAAATTAAAAAGGAAAACATTACAGTCCCCTCCAGCGAAAATGGTACTGTGCCCTGACAGTGGTGCAGACCAGGCGTGGCGCAGGTTTTCAAGGTTTGTCAACTCTTTTTTAACTCTTATCTTTCTTTATTTCTTTCAAGAAAATCTCACCTAATGGAGATTTGATTGATTCATTTTGTCTAGTTGATGCATTTTACGCTTGTGGTAATCTAGGGACAAATTCTTTGCTCGGCCCTAGAACAGCTCGGAAGAGCCTCAGGGTTAATATTTGCTAGACTGCGGCATTCTCTTAAAATAGAGCCCATTTCTGTCTCCTCTGCATCACTATGCATCTGGCTCTTTAACAGTACTCAAAGAAAAAAATACATAATTCTATTACATTCCTATCAACTGTTGCTTGAATTAGATTTTCTGTGCTGCAGTGCACCACACTCTAATTTTGATTCCTGCTGGAGCGAATAAAGCATTTAAGCATCCCAACTGATTTTATAGACCCTTAAGATACCAGGCTTTTTATCCTGACATTGGTTTCATAGTCGTTAAGGTCTTGAAATTTTTTCAGGGTCCCAGCCCCTGAAGTCAGGGCGATATCAGAGAAGCTGGCTTAAAAAAAATATAACAAAAACCGCAAAAGATGGAAAGCGTGCATTTTGAAATCCTGGGATTTGTGCATGCCTCAGGTTGTTAGTGTTGCTGCCGTGGTAGTACATCCCCTTTCCAGGAGTGTCACCCAGGCTGGGCTTGTCGCTCGGATGGATAATGGAATGTGTGTTGTCTCTGTGCCCTCACCCTCTTCCCAGGTCCCGAGAGCAGTCCTCCCGCCAGCCCGGTCCCAGCTTGCTCCCAGCAACAAGTCATCCAGCACAACACCATCACGACCTCCTCCTCCGTCAGCGACGTCGTGGGAAGCTCCACTCTCACCCAGCTCGCCAGCCACAGAACAGACATCAACCCCATCCTTTAAAAGTGGTTGATCAGACACTGCTAGGGAAGCGTGGTAGCGTATCAAAGCGTCCTCTGTGCTAAGGACATTTGCAACCCTAACTCAAGCCTGGAAGATTCCTCAGTTCTTGAAAGACTCTGGCTTTCATTTTTATAGTTATTAAAATGTCTTTTATACTTAGTTACATAAAAGGGAGTTATGCAATTAATATGCTATCAGCTTGAGAAATGCTTTGGTGCTTTCTCCAGTTTTTTTTTTGGTACCAGTTACTTGTTTATAAACCTAACTGTTTCTGTACATAGTCATGTTTCCTTCTCACCAATCTAGCCTGAAGCCTCAGAAATACAGAGTTGTGTTAAACTGCAGCTTGTTAGCCAACGTGAGGCATGAAAAGTATTAAACAGAGTCATACGTAGGTAACTAGGACTAATTAGGCTATAAATATAGAGAGAGGGCATCTGCTGACAGCATAATAAAAAATGAGTTAGCGTTGTGCTATCAGCAGACCCCGTCTTGCATTCAGAGCCTCTTGCAAAGCGGTTATATAGGATGTGGCTATCAGGACAAAATCAAGCCCAAATAGTGTGCTCTTTTGTCTACCCTTCTCCCTTCTCCTCTCTCCCCTACCATGCTCTTTTTCTCCTCCAGTTTTTCTGACACCTTCCTTTTCCCTTCCCAAATCCTGTTCTTCCCCCCAGCTTTTTTTTTTTTTTTTCCTGCTTTTTTTCATTCCAAGGCTTTCTCGCTTCCCTCTCTTTCTCTCAAAGAACGGAGATGAACAAGCAAAAAACTTCAAGCCCACCTAAAAACTGTCGGCGCGGCCGCTGCTTTCACTAGCTCTTCACCCACAGCTGGGCTGCGCCGAGCCTTTGGCTTTTAAAAAATAGAAATGCTCCTGATTTAGTGTTTTTAATAAACAGCGAAAGGCGAAAGCAGTGCAGCCCCAGGTGAAGTGGGATTGAGAGCCAGCTGTGTTGATGCTAGCAGCCCTACAAGCTTCTGTGGCGCAGCACGGGCGTAGCGAGCAACACCTGAGAATCACAGCAATTCTTTTGCACTGCCAGTCATTAACATAGAAAAAAACACCCTTGTAGTATATAATAATTCAGGAAAGTTCTGTTCCCTAACCCGGTTGTGTTATTCTAGCAAGGAAAGCTAACAGCCTCAGGTTTCACGGGCTATAAATGAGAAATAAATCAGCGTAACGGTTCTGACCAGTTGGAAAAAGGCCATTTTTAATTCCCAGGGAAAGACCTGCTCTCTGCAGGATTCCTTTAAGCATCCCTGGGCAGATCCCGAGCTGGCAGACAGCAGTGTAGCTTCACTGACTTTAATGGCACTTAATGCCTGTTTATCGCGGGTAAGAAACTGTCTCATTAGGACGCTAAATCATTTTCAGAAGGCACGCAGCCGCTAAAGAGCGCTGCAAGAACGGCCAATCCTGCTGCACCCTGGATAAAACTCAGCCTGCAAAGAAGGTCTGGAAAAGAGCCTTGTGCCACAATTAAGGTTTTTGTTTGGACTCTGGGCATGCCCCTCAGCGCAACTGATTTGCATCCCCAGTGATTGATGGGAAAAATCAGGCGGAGATGATGCCAGTTAATTACGCTGCCTTGCCGAATACTGGGACCTGATTTTGCCCTCAAATCTGTCAGCAGCAAAACCTCCTGCTGCTCACCCAGGGAGCGGGCTCCGAGCTGGTGATACACGTTCAAACATTTTCAGCTGCATCTTTCACAGCAAAAGCTAATTCACGTTATTCCCAACAAATCCACTTGCCTTGAACAGACTTTGTTCTGAAGCGCAGTTCTCCTCCTCAAAGGCTCTATCTTTGGTTTTTAGAAGAGTAGTGAAGTTTAAAAGGGTGGCTCTTCTCCGTGCAGGAGGGAGAGTTGGAACAACTGAAGCATGAGGCACTGTAAGGAGCAGGGCCTGCCTGGAAGGGAAAGCAAAATTCATTTCTGAATTAGTTCTTATCTTGATAAATAACTTTTTGTCAGTATTCTTTAACGGCTCGCTTTCCGTTTATGCAAATACATTCAAAAGAAGAAAATTTTTAATGTACAGTGTAAATCTTGACTTGATTATATAGTCTAAGAACCAAAAAAACCTACGAAAAATACAAATGTACAGGATTTTCTATTATATTTTAGACAAACATATACTTTTAAAGTGTTTTAAATACTGAATCTATAATTTTTTTTAACCTCCAGTTGTAATAGCTAAATGGTTTTGCTTCACCACTGCTCCCAAGGGAACTTTTTTCAAATATGCAGGCGAGCAAAATGTTCCAGCTGAGTATCCACTATGTAAAAAAGCCCAAATAAGCATTTCCTCTGTGTCTGAATTTCATCATTCACCATGAAAAAGAAAACGCCATTGCACGGTTAATTTAAAAAAACTTTCCCTCTATATGGGTAGCACTTAAATACATTAAAAAATAAAAATCAAAGTTGTTGGTAATATTAGAATACCCAGTTGAGCTACACTGCACTAGAATTACGGTTTAGCTTCATTTTATTCAGTCTCCTCAATTAAAATATTTAGCTGTTAAACTGAAAGCCTCTACATTAAAAAGAAAAAAAAAAGCAAAAAAAAATACAAAAACCTTGCCTAAGTTTTGTTAAAATTCAGCAACTTGACAGTTTGACTGATGTGTATTATATATAGCTCAATTATTTCTTTTTTTAATGCTAACTAGGCAAGCCAACCACACATGTTGGCCTAAATGTGTAATTACAATGAAATGTCTCCTCTCTATACTATTGGCCTTTAGGTATAATCCTTGCTAGTGATGTGGAAATAAGTAAAGGATGAAAAGCTATTTGCTATTGCTTCTTGTAACTCTGTCGCAGGTTCACAGGCCAAGACAACACGCAGCATATTTCTGTCGGCTAATATCATTGGTAAAAGGACCAACCCTACCAGGCACCTTATATTATTCCTCAGATTTGCTTTCCACGTTAAAATGCTCTTGTTTTCCAGGGGAGTGATCCTGCAGCCTTTCCTCAGGCTGCTGGTCGGGCCGGGCACCGGAGGCTGCCTGAGCAAGGGCTGTAGGAGAAGCCCCTTCCCCTCTGTCCCCCGGGATGTCCCCCTGCTGCGCGGCCGGTCCCTCTAAAGGCACTTCCCAGCGAGGAGAAATCCTGCTTTTCCACCAGCTACTCCTGGAGACCGCTCTGCTTTCCTCCTGCCCTGCAAATCCAGTCCCACCACCACCACCAGACAACTGGGACCCCTTCCCTCTGCCGGGCACCCACAGAGGGAGGAGGTATTTCGGCGGGCGGCACCTCTCCTCGCACGTTGGAAATCTCAGCCACGGACAACTGCAACACTTCGATGGGAAAGAATCGATGCTGTGATCCCGTCCCTTCATCCCCCTCCCTCCCCCTTCCCCCCAAGTCAGTTTGTGCAAGCCATATTCATAATGCTGCCTGTGGGAGACAAGTAGTTTGTGTGCTATCATGGTGTGTTTTATAAGGACGATGATGGTGATGATGGTGATGATGATTTATGGAGAATTTCACGCTGTTGGGAGTTAATTCCTGCTACGAAGCTAAATGTCTGCTGCCCATCTTCTGAATAGTGGAAAGTCAATGGTTCAGTGCCTCAGTGCGTGTGGATTTAGTGTGTTAACTGACTCTGTCCTGTTAACTAACAAGCCAGCTATAACTGTTGTTAAATGCCCAACTTTTGAGGATTCATATTTTTTTAAGCAACAATATTTAGTGTTGAAAACTAGCCTTTTAGTTTAGGCAAAATGTGCTTTTTAGCAGCTAATACCTTTTTTAAAAAAAAAGCGTATAGAGTGAATTTATGAAAATTCATGAGGACCAAAGCAATTTTAAAACAGGAATCTATTAATTTAGTATTCACATAGAATTTTATAAAGTATTTATTAATAAATGTTATTTTAACACATTCCATTTGAACAGTATTCTTGTACAGAATCTGTTTGATTTTTTTTAAGTTACAATATTAGTTTTGCAATAAACTACTCTAGGTGTATGTGCATCTTAATCTTTCAGGGTCTCAAGCAGAAGTCATCCATCTAAGATGGAAAAGCTTGCTGAGGTCAGTTGTACAGAAATTCCTAGAATTAAATGTTTTCCTTAAAGCAGCATCTGCTTTTTTTTTTTGCCTTTTTTTTTTGTAACAACAAAACAAATTACGAACCTTCAGTTGTTTCTTTTGTATTGGAAAATGTGCTCTCTCCTTTTAGAAAGCACGGGTCAACATATAACTGGAAAGCCTGTCTGGTTTTTTTTTTTTTTTCCTCTTTTTTTTTTTTTAGGGCTGATTTTACACATCACCACGAAAGATCTAACCCCATCCTTGTTTCTTTTCTAATATCACATAGTGAGTTGCACTATACTGCCTTATCATTGCCTCTTCTGTCCTCTTACTAAGCAGTGTTCCTTAGATTTAGACCATTGAAACTCCATTATACATCAGAGAAAATTACTGGAGGGGGAAGAAGAGAAAAAGATTGATCTGTAGACATAAAAACTAAACTGTGCCTATAAAACAAAACCAGTTACAACTAATTAGTATCTTATTTCTACGTTTCAATTATTTATATTATTTTAAAATTGCACTTTAGCTCTCACTCTCTTTCTTGCTCTCCCTTGTTGAATCATTTATAAATACTCTTGTAAAACGTTTGCACCAGACACATTTATATGCTTTCACTGGTGGCATATCTACAACTTGTCTCTCACACCTGCCCGAATGGAGAAGCTGAGAACAGCCAGTCTGCAGTGTGACTTAGACTTCACACCCTCTTCATGACAGCATATAAATGTTTTATTATGCAAAGTGTGTGAGGCAGCATCTAAGCTACGTTTATAATCTCTCATCCTGAGAACCAAAGTGTCCTGTATATCGTAAGGTCAGGAGACTGGCTCTGTTGTGCATTGTCGTGCACTTTGACTGTTGTCCAACCCACGGTAGCTGCGAAGCTGCAGTGATAACAGTGGCCATACTATGTATTAGAGTTCTGAATCAATAAAATATGTTGCCTTATAACTTGACTAGGGACAGCACCTTTAAAAAAAAAAAAAAGGAATAAGAAAAGAGACTAAAAACTTCTAAGGACAAACAAAAGCAATAAAATCTCAAGTGATACAAACACCAAAAAAAAAAAAAATTGTTCAATTTTTCATCATCTGAAATAATCATCTTACTGCAAAGACAAAAGAGACTCCTTACATCCATAAACCTTTTTTTTTTTCCAGAGCTTATCGTTATCTCAGCTTTATCAGTGGCTTTACACTTAAGAGCTAAATTGCTTACCATTATTGGGTTTCCATAGCTTTCAAAATGACTTTATAGCAAATCCTAAACTGCATGAGGCCAAAAATGTCAGCACGCACACACACTCACAGACAAGATTGATTCTCTAAGTGGAAAACTGATCCTTTCCCAGGCTCTCCTTGGACTGGAATCAATAATTGCAACTCGCTATATTTAGAGCGATGTGTAATACCTGGGATTCAGGATCTCCAGTTCTGTATTTATGCAAATTAAATGTTAGCTATGTTGAGTTTCACCTAGTGCAAATGTTCCCGAAGCCCACAGTAAGAACATGCCATCTGATGCCGTGAAACTCTTAGACCCAAATTTCTTTTTTGACTAAAAATCTGTGCAACAGCCTTCTGAATGAAGACTGAAAGCTCCTTCTGGCTTTGCAGAAACTGCAGCAGTGTCAGGAAGCGAGGGAGGCGGGAGGGCTGATAGGGCATTTCAAGGGAAATGTTTTCCTTGGTGGAATTTAGGAAATTCCAGAGAATTTTTTTCCCCCCACCCCTCGGAGCAGAGATTGCGCAGAGGTCCCTGCCAGAGACAACCCTTACCATGCTTCCACCACACAAACTGTTTTGCACAGAAGGTGTATTCGCTCTTCTGAATAAGAATAATTGCCACTGAGAGTTTTGCCAAGGACGTTATCGTTGGGACCCGAGCTCTGTACCCCCCTCTCCAACAGCTCCGTTCAAACACTGGGTAGCACTCAGTGCTGAACGTTGCTCCTTTGGACTGTTGCCATTGTCCTGGTTTTAAGGAACTTTTAGCACTGCTTGGAGTAAGCCTAAACTATCGAAGTTTATATATAAATATATATATATATATTATTAAAAAAAGGTGCTGTCACAGTAAGTTTTGGGCTTGAGGTTGTTTGTATTGTATGCAAAGGTTTTGTGTTTGTCTGTTTGTTTTATTCTGTAAAGCAACCACCTTCCTTACCGGAGGGAGATAATTTTTTTTTTTTTTTTT